GACAACTTCAGAATGCTTATGTGTGTCTATACAGCTAGCTTTGCTAACATCACGTCAACGGATCTTACCTTCTTTGAGCTACTTTTCTAAGTGACGAAAAAGTTAGATGTTGTCTCCACCGTCTGTGAAAACGAAGCAACACATAGTTGCTTGGATTTTAATTGGCGTTTTGCATCCACTGAAGACAAAGATGTTAACAAATAAACTGGACAGTATGCTGCACGTTTAGTGATATTTTCACAGTTGCGGTCTCGACTGGTCTTGAAATAAAATGCCGAGTCACCAGCGCCCGAGACCGAGACAAGACCGAGACCAAATGCGGTCGAGTCCGAGACGAGACCATCAAAAAATGGTCTTAAGACCGGTCTCGAGACCAAGACCAATTTCGAGTACCACAACACTGATAAAAACATAAATGAATAGCAATAAGTATGACATTCCTGTTGAGGTGATTCAGTCACAGAGATACAAAAATGAGATTAAGTGTTGGTGAAAATAAATGAAAATAAATTTGACCAGTCCACCAACTTTTTTTAAATTCTAATAAAATTGATGCACATTTAACCGTCTTTGAACATTACTTTTGTAAGTTAATAACAAGGTTGAAAATGTGTTTACTCTATATTAACATTTTTTGATAGTGTGTGGTGTAATGTAGTGCCATTTATAAGTCTTAGTTAAGTGCAAAAGTTGACAATAGTGAAAAATATCAAATCTCGGAAGAAATAAAAGCTTCATGCGGAACCTTTCGTTCGGTCGACAGTTTATTGTCGGAGGTAGTTTGGGGTGACTTCAACTGACTTCCGCTTGTCATTCAGCTGCTCGACGTTGTGCATTTACTCAGCTATTTCATCTCAGTAAGTTAAAATATTAAACATTTTATAGTGTTTGTGTGTAGGTGGCATATCCACCTGTTTAGTGAATGAAAGAAACTTTGTGTTTATCTGAGAAAAAGGAATGGTAGATTGAAAGAGCTCGGTGTTCCCAAAGATGAGGGGACGCCTAGCTTAGGTAGCGGAAAGCTACATTTTCTTTTACTTTACTTTGGAGACATTTAAACTCATTTTCTGTGTCATTTCTTTCCCCAGCTTTGAAAGACATTTCAGTTGTTTTCACGTCAAGTTTAAAAACTGTGGTCTTCGTATTGCAGCCTGTTTTAAATCAACGGTCAGAAGTAACTGACTGGTCATTAAAATGGGTGTAAATTTATCCATTAATTATAAAAACCTGTCTTTCACTCTGCTCATTATATAAACCAGTTTCTCGACCAGACGCAGTGCTTCAGCTATCTTATCATTTGCGAATATAATAAGGTAACAGTGAGTCTTTACTGTACTGTAGAGTTTTAACTCTAAAGGTGGAATTGTGAGTGAATTGTGATGGGTGTTTTGTAATTTTCTGATGTTTATTTTTTATCTCTGTACAGGAATCTGATTTTCACCGACAGACGCGATGACACTTTTTCACTTTGGAAACTGCTTTGCCCTGGCCTATTTCCCTTACTTCATCACATACAAATGCAGTGGCCTGTGAGTATCTCGTTTATTATTCTCTATGCTTTCAACTGCTTGACTAAAGTTACAAAAATAAGAATTATATTGCTTTGTGTACTCATTAGAAGACTTGTGGTTCATGCCCCCCTCAGCTGCAGCAGTAACATATGCTCCGAGACTCTTATGGTCTCTTATAAGCTTCTTAGTAATGTCAGGTTTTGGGAGACGGATCCTTTAATCCTTTTATGTGCTGTGCTCTCAAATTATCCACAGTTAATGGCATGCATGTTGTAAAGTGGTGCATCATAAAGTGAAAATGTTTTTTTTTAAATTTCAGTGCCTGTTCCAGTCTTCCTAATTAATGTTTGCATTTTAATTATGTAAAGCACTTTGAAATGCCTTGCTGCTGAAATGTGCTATACAAATAAAATTTGATTTACTGATTGATTAATTCACCTAACTCTGTTTGTGTTCCACATGTGTAGCTCGGAGTACAATGCTTTCTGGAGATGCGTCCAGGCAGGAGCGACGTACCTGTTTGTCCAACTTTGCAAAGTAAAGAAGCTTTCCTTATCTGCTTTCATTTAGAGAGGGACCAATCGATTTTGATTTTTATAACTTTTTTTTTGCCAATTGCTGATACTTGGGGTTGAAAACGCTGAAAAGAAATGTATTGAAAATCTCTTGTTGTTCTTATCGTTTGTGGTTATTAAGCCTTTGTTCAAGTAGAAGCAACATAACATTGTATGTAAAACAGAGCATCTTTAAAATTTGTCAATATTTTAACATCTTTTTAGGAATGCACGACATATCAGCACTGATATCAGTTTTGGCTGATATTTTGTATTTTTTAACGTATCGATATTGGTCCGATAAAACTGGACTGATGAGTTTTCCAACTAATATTTATTTCCATCTGGCTCCTGTTCGTTTATGTAAGTGGAGGGAAGGAGGGGAGTTTTTTTTTTTTTTTTTTTTAATTATTTATAAAGCACTTTAAAACAACCACAGTTGATACAAAGTGCTGTACAATTTAAGAACACAACATAATAAAAGTAATTTAAAAACAGTTTAAAAACAAAAACATACAATTTAAAACTAAATCCCACTGGTGTTGAAAGCTAAGTAAAATAGATGGGTTTTAAGACGAGCTTTAAAAGTGGTCATGTGACAGTGATGCAGCAAAGGATTGTGGGGAGTTCAGCTGAAACAGAGAAGTAGTGATGAAGTCAGCAGTGTGGTGATTTTCTTCAAGATGACAAGACGGTAGTAAAATACATACAGTATCATAAATATTGATTATCTGCCACAAACGTAATATTGATAACAGATGTCAGCATTGGCCTAAGTTTTCAAATCGGCGCATCCCTACGTCTTTTATTAGTAATTAGTGTTTTTAATGCAGCTGGCATTTCTCAAACACCAGTTTCTCTGTGTTGAACAGAAAAAGTAGATCCTCAACTCTGTGATTTCTAAAAGTACAGTTTCAGCATGTTTCATGACAGACGTACTTTCACAGATCAAAATAAAAACAAAACAGAGCAGCTTTACCATACTATTCAGCATTTCTCTTATGAGCTGAAAGTCTCTTGCAGCATTAAGACCTTCAGACACGACTAGAGATGTCATAGAAAATCCATCTTACATTTTAAAACATCCTCTCTTTTCTTACTCTGTAATTTCGGTTTCACACACCTCACAAATCCTGGAAATAGTTTATTCCCCCAGTAACAGCAAGAGGTGGTAGCCATTTTGAATGTTGTGTTCACTGATTCAGATAACAGGGTCAGATTTTTGAGTTCCCGGCTGGTTTCTCAGTTCATCTTTACTTTTCAACATTACTACCATCATTTTCCTTCTCTCTTTTTAGATGCTGTTTCTCGCTACATTTTTCCCAACCTGGGAAGGAGGAGCTGGTGTTTATGACTTTGTAGGGGTGAGTAGCAAAAGCTTTTATTGTAGAACTAAAATCAGAAGAGAAACTAAAATGATAAACACCCCCGCCTGGTAATATTGGTTTGTCCTTTAATCCCAAAACTGTTAAGTGGTGCAGATCTGAAAGAGGTTTTTTCCAGGTATAGAGCTGTGTTTATTTGTTTCTCAGGAGTTCATGAAGTCCACGGTGGACCTGGCTGACCTGCTGGGTCTCCATCTGGTGATGTCTCGTAATGCTGGGAAAGGAGAGTATAAGATCATGGTCGCTGCCATGGGCTGGGCAACGGCAGAGCTTGTGATGTCGAGGTTAGCATCGTAACTAACCCGTGAAGAAAACATATCTGTGAAATTTCCCCAACTATGTAAAAACTGCATGTTTGTTGTTTGTTCAGGTTTCTTCCCCTGTGGGTCGGCGCCAGAGGAATCGAGTTTGATTGGAAGTACATCCAGATGAGCTTTGACTCAAACATTAGTTTGGTGAGTAGCTTTACTACTTGTGCCTTATTTCTTTTTATTTAAACTATTTAACTCTTGATTGCCTTTTCATATTACTCATTCCTTTGTTTTTTTTTTAACGATGGAGTGATTTCTTTTTTTCCCCCACACATTTTCAATGAGTTTGTTTAGATGTTATATACCTGAATAATGGTGTGTGTTTGTGTGCGTAGGTCCATTACATCGCCATGGCAGCTGTTGTGTGGATGTTCACCCGATATGACCTCCCTAAGACCTTCAGGCTGCCTGTTACTGTGCTGCTGGCTCTGTGTGTGTACAAAGCCTTTTTAATAGAGTAAGTCTCATAATGAAAGTGTCAGCATTTCAGATGGTTGGAAAGCAAATACATCGTCATTAAAACTATTAGGTTTAACATTTAGAATAGAATATACTTAAAACTGAAAAAAGACTAAAATCAAAAAGATTAATATATGGTTATTCTTTTCAAAGCTTGTAGATAGACATGTTACTAGAATGAAGACCTAAATGTCTCAAAAGAAACAGACATACAGTTTACTGAGTAGATGTTTTAGTGAAACTTTGATTCAGTTTAAAAATGTCAAAAGATCTTGTGGTATAAAACCACCACAATATGTTCTTGTTGACATGAAGTCTGTTTTGTGATGTGAAGTCTGTCAAAATGAACCTTGCTTGATAAAGTGTAAGAGTGTAAGGAGGTTTTTTTTTTTTTTTTTTTTTTGTTTAAACTTTGTCATGCATGTTTGGGGCTCTTTTTTTGNATCCTGACCATCCTCTTCACAAGACTGTCTTGGGAAAGAAAGCAGAGCATCTTCAGTCAGAGGCTTCTTCAGATTCATTTTTGCACAGACTGCTGCAGGAGATATTTCCTGCCAGCAGCCATCACTGTCCTCAATAACGCTTTGCTGAATCTAAATTAATGAGTTACAACAACATCTAATTTCCCTTTGGGATTAAAAAAGTATGCTACTCTACAGTATAATACTCTTTTAAGTTCTTGGAAACACTGAAGAAATGTCTTATTTTATATGAAGCATATTTGTCTCCCTATCATGGTGAAAATAAAATCCTCATGTCCTAACACGGATTGATGTATTTACCCAAGGGTGTTTAAAACATTCTTGAAGCATTAATCAGCTGCTTTGGGTTGCCATTACCAATAGTTTTCCACCTAAAAGTAGAAGAAAACAACAAATTATAAATGCTATAAAACAAAGAAAGCCTCGGGCTTAATGAGATTTGTGAACTGACGGCTGCACTGGAGAATTAAAACACAATAGGAAATTTATATCTCTTGTTCAATTATAAATATTTGTGATATTTCAAGTTCACAGTATGAGGCCCTCTTAACTTGAACTTGAGATTAATTTCCCCAAAGTTTACGGCTGCTCACCAACATTAATCAATTTATTCTGCAACTCAAATGAAAACAAAACATCGCTGTGCTCCAAAGCAGCTAATTTGAAAGTATTATTTGTTCCTGCAACAGTTATTTCCTTGTTGATTGAAGTGGTTTATTTGTCCACTCAAAGCTGCTTTAGCTATGGGGCATTTAATCAAAACTATATGAAATTTAAATACATTCTGATGAAATGGGCTGATACAACATCACTGAAGTGTTCGTTTTTTTCACAGATCAGAGAGGAATTAACATTTGTCTTTTGCATTCGGGGACAGATGGTGTTTTGTTGTGAGGCTGAGTTGGGATTTTCTTTTACTTTCTGCAATCTGTGGGTTTATGATTTACTGTCTATTGGGTTTGGATTCTACTGATCCACCTGTTTTGGTAAGAAATCACGTTTCTGTTAGGAAAACCATTAGAATATGTGTTTGAGTAAAAGAGGCAGAATTCAAAGAGCATCAGAGTTGGAAAGCAAGAAGCTCAAAGAGCAGATGTAAAGAATAATAGTTGTACATTTTAGTTATTGCTAACCAGTGTTTATCATTGTGTGTGAATAGTAATTTCCCCTGTTCTGTTTTGGCCTTTTCCTCAATTTGATCAAAGTAATTTTAATTATAGACAAAGATAGTATCAGCTGTCAAAACCAACATTGGCTCTATGTGAAAAGGCAGATTGCAAAAGTTGCCCTATTTGTTAAAAAAGTAATTAATGGTCATTACCAACACTTTATACAACACTTTTTTTGGGTGAGGCAATTTTCTTGCCTCACCCAAAACTGATTATTGTCATATGTAGGATGAAAAATAATCCAAACAGAACATGTCTAACAACATGAAGAAATCTAAAGACCTCAAAAAGTAAGACAACATCTAAGCAGTTATATAACAGACGTAAAAAGGTTTATAAAGCCATGAAAGGGAAACAAAAATCACAATGACACATTATCTACAATTAGAAAAGACATCAAACAGCCAGGAGAGGCTGGCCTACCAAAACCACTCCAACAACAATATTGCTACATTTTTATTCATTTATTTTTCGCACTTTCTTCTTTAGATATTTTCAAGGTTTCAAAGCAAGTGGAATTGTGTATTCTTGTTATAAAACTAGCAGAGTTTTGCAAAAAGAGCCTCAAACAATCGGTGGTAAAGCCAAACGTGTCGGTTGCAGTGTGATTGTCTGGGGCTGCTCTGCTGCTTCAGGACTTGAGCAATTTGCCGTAACTGATGGCAAGTTGAGGAAAATCTCTTTTCTACCACAACATCCTGAAAATAATTCTGCAAAGTAAAAGTTGCCACAAAATTTCTCCAGTGACGTAAAAGACTTACTGTCAGTTAAGGCAAACCCATGACGGCAGAGAGGTCACACAACCAAATTAAAGTCTTCCTTTTCTATTAACTCAGTTGATCTTTGACTGACATTAAAATGCGTTTGATCTGAAGAAGCAAGTGTGACGAAAAGAAAACATAGAACGAACCATTAATAGGATAGATACTTTTTCATAGCAAACTCATCACTGCCATGATCCACTTGTCGTATGAGACTTTGACGTCACCCTCACTCAATTTGCTTTTGTTGCATACCTTAGCAGATATTTGCATTTTTCTCCAGAGTTGATGGACGCTCATCAACTCTGCACATGTAAGACAGTAAATCCCAGGACAGCAGTATTAATCCTTACTAAATCTTTGAGCTGCGAGCGACCTACACCTGATTGGAGGTCTTATCAGTCAGGGTAATGGAAAACCAGTGTGCGTATTCAAGAAGGACTTGGCCCACTGCACATTTACAAAGCAGCAATTAAAGCTCTTGTGTTAACAATGACATTTCATACGCTAATCATTTATTAATTAATGAACTGGTTTATGCTAAATGATTGTGATGAGATGCTGATGCTCTGTGCCAATACGTGTTTGAGAATCTTCTTTCGTTCTTCAGTTCATGCACTTTTCTTCTTGTATTTTGCTTCATGCACCAACAGCATTCATGTTCATTTTAAGTATACATCCATTTAGGTGGATTTAATGTCATGTTTCCCCACACTGAATTAAGGAGATGGTGAAAGATCAGCTCTATACCCTCATGTATCCTGCAGCAGAGGCCTGAAGGGTCCAAAAGAATAGCATTTTTTCAAAGTTGTCTTTGTATTACTCCTAAAATAAACAAAATTAACATGTGAACACAACTGACAGGTGTAAAATGTTGCTGTCTTACATTAATGATGTCAGGAGTATATAATTAATACTAAAGAAAGCAGCAGCAGTTTTATTTGTATATTTTGGAGCAATCTAACCTTCACCATCATGCTGGATTTTGACGAGATTAATTTATCCTGTTAACAATTCTAACATAATTAACTAGGTTGTCTTTATTTAGCTCAACAAGAACTGATTTGATGGCTTCTTTGTTTCATCACTAATAATAGGTCTGATAGATATGCTGGTTTATTGCTGGCATGAAGTTAAAATCTTAAAAAAACATCTGTTAAAGATGCTCTGTTACACACAAACTATTGTTCATGTTTTTGAGAAGCAAACTAAAGTTTCTAAATGTCTGGGGTAGGACTTTGATTTTCCATCCCATAATTTCACTTCATGATCCTCATTAAAACTCTTAACTGCTGATCATTTACTTTTCTAAGATAACATAATTAATGTTAGATCTATGTCTGACATATGCTTTAAAAAAATAGAAGCCATTTTTTTTCCCCTGTGAGTTACACCAACGTTCAACCAGCATCGGATTTCATTCGACATTTTGCAAAAGGAACCGTTGTCGAGTTTGAGTCTGCTGTAGTCTGTGGTATAAAGTCCTGCATAGATGAAAACCTTGCTTGATGCTGCCGACTTCCCCCATGGTTTAATTAAACGTCCCCAGTTTGATCATCCAATTCTCCACAACAGCAGGTGGCTCTTAAAGTCATAATGGACCAGCTAACACACCTTTAATGATATCAGCTCACACCAACAGTCCTTCCCAGTCTTCTAAGGGAAAAATGGAAAATATTAATATTTCCTTGCAAAAGTCTTAAACCCAACTTGATCCCTATCACATATTGTCATGTTGTACTTTATATGATAGACAAGTCATACCTGTGACGTGGAATTTCACTATTTGTTTTACTAAAATGTTTGTGCAAATATGAGATAATATCGCCTGTAAAGTTGGGAGTGCAGTTGTATTCAGTTCTCTCCTGTTTACCCATAGATAAAATCCATTACCTTCAGAGGTCAAGTGGATAATGAACAGAGTCCGCTGTGTAATTTATTCTCTGTTCAGCTATTCTGTGAAGGCCTCAGAGGTTTTTTTTAGAGAACATAAGCGAACAAACTGCATCACAGCAGAAAGCTCAGGGGAGATGTAATGGGAGGGTTAAAGATGTGATAGGTTATAAAACATTACCCCAAGAAGAAGCTCAGTTTATCATCTAAAAATGGAAAGAGCATGGCACAAACACACAAATATCAGGACTTGGCCATCAATCTAAACCTGCGGTGTAAAAGTCCTTCAGGGCTGATGTCTTGCATCTTTTAGATTTGTTGCTGGTCCAACACACCTGAATCAAATGGCTGAACTACCTCTTTTCTTCAGAGTATGCTAATGACCTAATTATCTGATTCAGGTGGGCTGATTCATATGGGGAGCTAGATGTGGAGGAAAGGTAAAATCTAAAAATGATGTAAATGATTAAAAACAATGCTAGATTTCCTTAGTAGTTTGTGCCTAAATGTAATCTGAATTATCTACACAGCATTTTCACCAACTGACTCTCATTTAACAGTGACTTTTCCCCTGACAAACATGACCATTTCTCTGCTGGCTAGCGCCCCAGAAGTGAAAATAAATAACCAATTGTGTCTATTATTTTTCTGCAGCAACCAAACATTTGGCCAATTACCATCACTGAAATTAAAATCTTTGGGGAGCTAGAAATTTCGCCAAAGTAGCTCAGACCAGATTGTCAATCTTGAATCACAATGCAGAGGATTTTCCAGATGGCAGGTAAGCTGCAGCTTCTGTTCCTGTGTGTTTTATTAGTTTTAGCTACAGTAATGCTCTTTTCTGCAAACACTGCTGCTGATCTTTGCTGATAATCAGTTATGAATGTTACTGTGGTTTATATGATGCTCTGGTTAGCACAATGCTAATGCTGCTGTAAATAAATGTTAAGATTTCTTAAAAAAAAGGCTCCTGTTGTTATAAGGTTAATGTTTGCTTGACATAATAAGTTCTGGGTCATATGACCAAGTGGTCTTTGTGGAGAAGTTCAAATCCTGTTTGGTGCCTCTGAGGTATATGAACATTCACGTCTGTCAGATTTTTTTGGA